TTCGTAACTCGAATCTAAGTTCGTAAGTCGAGTCCATATATTCCTATGAGAGCAGTTCGTAAGTCGAAACGTTCATATGTCGAGCCGTTCGTAAGTCGAGACCCCACTGTATATATATATAGTAATAAATAGGAGATTGCCCTTGAGTAGATTTTAAGTCAGCCCATTCCTCCATCAATTGCATGGATTCAAATGGGTCTCCTCTACCTGAAATGTCCTATGCTACACAGAATGCTAAATCCTCACGGATTCAGGTGGACCTAATCTAGTGCAATCTACTATTATAGGAAACAAAGGGATCCGGGTTCAAAACTAAAGCGGTCCTGGCCGGGGGGGGGGTCAAGTTCCCCTTTGATCCCGCCCGCCGCCCTCCGGCTTTGGCTTTACCTTCATCTCCTCCAGCCAGTCCATCAGATAGACCAGATCCTGGAACACTTTCTGCAGCTCAAAATGGAGCATCAGGCGCTCGCGCCGCGTGGCCACCAGCTCCCGCAGATAATCCCACAGCCGCGCCACGTTGTTCCTCCGCGCCACCACCCGCTTGAGGTCGTGGTAGCCTTCCGCTTCCAGCTCGGCCGCCACCGCGTTGACGGCCGCCACCCGCTCGCTGTAGGCCACGATGTCCGTCTCGATGGCCTCGTGCTTCCGCACGGCCGCCTCCACGGCCGAGATATCCGACCCAAAGTTATCCTGCAAAATGTATAGATTTCTTAGTTACTTTCCTATAGATTTCTTAGTGATATTTCTATCCTGCACATGAGCGCCCCTTTATCCGCGGGATCGGTATCCACTGATTCACTTATGCACGGCCTGAAAATATTACAAATATTAAGGGGGGGGGAAATCCCAAATATATATATTTTAATAATGGTTAACAGAACTGGCCACTATAGGCAGGAAGAGACCACGCTATGTAAAGCATTCACTATTAACCCAGTGTTTGCTGTAATCCACATTTTCCAGCATCCACAGTGGGCCTTGGAACCGATTCCCTGCAGATACACGGCTGCTGCTGTAACATCTTTCTTCTCTCCTCCTCCTCCTCCTTATGAGGTCGAAAAGAGGGAATGTGGAAATTATGCTCTATTTGGGCACGAGAACTGATCCGGAAAGTTTGCATGTCTGTTTTCTGTTCCGTTTGTCGTTTGGGAAAAAAATACCACTTAGAGGTCTAAAAGAGCGGATCCTGGCTCCCAAGCTCCTGCCATCTGCCGCTGTGCCCAACGGTAGGGCCGGCGCCCTGGAAGACAAGACAGGCCCGCCCGCCCCGCTTCCCGCCTCCATCGCGCAGCACCCACCTGTGAGACGAGCCGCTGATTCTCGCTCAGCCAGGTCTCGCGCATGGCCGCCTTGCGGTCGAACCGGGCCGCCAGCTGCTCCAGCTTCTCCTGCCGAATCAGCTCGTTGCGCAAGGCCAGCTCCCGCTCGTGCTCCGCTTTCTCCAAACGCTCCCAGCCCTGAAGGTGTGGGGGGGAGAACACAAAGGGGGGGAAGTGTCTCACTGCACACACCAACTCTTCCCACGGAAAAGCAGGGGGCCTGCCGGGAGCCGCCCCCCTTTTCCGCTTCCTCCTCGCTCACCTTGTTGATATCAGAGATCAGCCTCCCCTCCCGTGGCGTGTAAACCTTCTGGTTATTCGCTCTCATCTTGCTTTGGATCGTGAAAAGCAGAACTTCGAGATTTCCCTTTTCCGTGAACCTGGGGAAGACAGGAACGGAAAACAGGGATGAGACCAAGTGAAGGATAAAGGAGGTGCATCAAATCAGGGGGTCCCCTCCTTACTCAATTTTCTTCTATGTCTGTCTGAGTTACATTTTCACCCTGCCTTTCTTCCAACAACCTCAAAGCCCCACGGATCTGGTTCACCATCTCCCCATCCACCTTCCCTAATGAGAGGTGCAGTGAGTTCCGCAGATGAATAGGGACTTGAATCCAGACCTCCCTACTTCCCAGACCCTCTCCCGGTTGATACAGCCTGTTGGATTCTCCTTCCCTACCCAGACCCAGGCTTCAGAAGGCTTACTTGGGGGGTTTCTCCACGGTGCGGTAAGTGTTAAAAGCCTGCAGCTGGTTCTGCACCCCGCTCAGGCAGTTGGCCAGCTTCCGGTCGTACAGCGTCAAGATCGTCTGCTCAATCCACTGCAGGAGGTCCGAGGCGAGGGTCTCATATTTTTCTATCAGCTTGTCCGCCTCGATCGCGTGATCCAGGACCTGGAATGCAGAGAGAATGGATGGATCAGGACCCTTGTGGGCGGCGGGGGGGAAGACCCCGAAAATGCCAGCTAGCTCAGGGACCACGCCGTCTTCTCCTTTGAGATCCTGTCTCGTGTCACCTGAGAAGGAGCAGGATCTGTTCTTGATCATCCCACAACTGCAGGACAGGCAAGAATGGGCTCAAGTTGCAGGGAGCCCGGTTTTGGCAGAAGATCATAAAAAAAAAATTCTCGGATTGGGGAGGGGGGCTCCTCCACCCCCCCAAGCCCTCCGCCACGGCCACGGCGGCCATCCTTGCAGCCGGTACCTTTCCGATCCGCTTCCCTTCCACGGCTAAGGCTTTCATCTTCGAAAAATAGTGGTAGTAGGTGGCTACGTAAGTGATTATGGACTTCTCGTCTGGCTGGTCCACGTTCACATCTAGGTTATCAAAAAAAGGAGAAGCAGCAGGTAGAAACGAGAGAAACAGGGACATGGAAGAGATGATTTATCGCCAAACCCATTGGGGGGAACTTCCTTGGCCAGGGTGATCACAGGGACCTCCATCTTCGAAAAATAGTGGTAGTAGGTGGCTACGTAAGTGATTATGGACTTCTCGTCTGGCTGGTCCACGTTCACATCTAGGTTATCAAAAAAAGGAGAAGCAGCAGGTAGAAACGAGAGAAACAGGGACATGGAAGAGATGATTTATCGCCAAACCCATTGGGGGGAACTTCCTTGGCCAGGGTGATCACAGGGACCTCGTTCAAAAAGGCTCTGCCCCCCCCCCC